CAGACAAACCAAGACAAACTTAAAACAATCAAGAATAACGAAAACAGCCAACCAACAACGCAAACGATAAAACATTGTTACAAAAAAACAAACAAAAACAAAGTGATCCAGTCACGACACGGCACAAGCGTATAGCCTCCCTGGCGCTGCCGTTTAATATGAATATACATTATTGAGTCGGGCCGCAGACCGACCAATGAATACAAACGCGGGAGCCAGTTACACCCGACGCCGAACCCAAACAAGCCTTTAAGGGCTGTTCTGTCGTGCGAGTCGCCCTTAGTGTGCACTTCCCCTGAAAATCCCTTGCAGTTTCCCTAAAATCCACTAATAGTCTTTATGTAATTCAAGAATGAATGTTCGGAACATTTCGTTAAAAATGGTGTTTAAATTGTTAATGAATTATAAAAGAGAATTCTTACTCGTTTGACGACCAAGGAGAGGCACTGAACAAATGCACGTCTCTTTGGCTGTGTATGCCTCATGCATGACAAGTAGCTCCCGGTAAAAACGATTTGTCCAAATTAGGTAAAAGATATGATATTGTCAATTTATAATTATGATTCTTTCTCATCACGTACAAAATTAACATACATGCGCGCAGACACACACACACACACACACACACACACACACACACACACACACACACACACACACACACACACACACACACACACACACACACACACACACACACACACCAACCACACACACACCAACCACACACACACCAACCACACACACACCAACCACACACACACCAACCACACACACACACACACACACACACACACACACACACACACACACACACACACACACACACACACACACCTCCCGCCCCCCTCCACTCATCCTCGAAGCCAGGCGACAGGCGAACTCCAATCCGGACGCCGACCCCCCCCCCCCCCCCCACCAACGTCCCCCAACACTCCACATCGTCAATCATCATGTTTGTGTCGACGCTCATCTCACTCGCTCCTTCCTCCGCGCGCTAATAAACCTCTTTTTTTCTTCAAATGACAATTCCAACTTCAGTCTTTGTGCAAGTCGTCGCCCACTTCACGCAAGAACTCTCAGACTTCGTAAAATACGGAACAGGAGAAGAAGAAGAGGAAGAGGAGGAGGAGGAGGAATAAAAAAAAAGGAAATAAAACAAGGAAAGGGGAGGAAGGTTTCAAGGAGCAAGCTTTATTAAAAGGTACAAACACAGCTGCGATTATTAAGAAGGTCACATCCCAAAGTCCGGCAGATAATCTTGAAAGGCCGAGCTTAAAATATGACTTCGTAAAATGTTGCCAACGACCCGCCACTTTGCCAAACTAAACTCTACAACACTGGAAGGAATCCGTCTCTAAATTAAATCGCATTTTGGAAATCTCATTATAGATGGTTCGGTCGGCGGAGCTTTGAAATTCGTCTGGCGACTGGCGGCAACTTTTTTGTGTGTGTAATCAAAATATTTGGAAGAATGCAACTTTATTATAATTTTTCGTGTTGATTTTCTGGGTTCTGTGATTTCATCGAGTGCTGATATAAAGGACTGGGTTTAGAGTGACACGGAGCATTATCACAGCGACATTCTTATTGATGATCTAAGGGCAGATTCTAAATGAATCACCATTATACCCGAGCTGTGCCTGCTCAACGTAACTTTTCGCGTGCAAATTGTTTCATAACTGCATTTTCAAACTTACGCTCCCTAAAAAGTAAATGGGAAACTTTTATTCACGAGAACCTAGTTCGCCGAAGATTTCATAAAACTATATATACATATACATATATATATTATATATATATATATATATATATATATATATATATATATATATATATATATATATTATATATATATATATATATATATATATATATATATATATATATATATATATATATATCATATATATATATATATATTATATATATATATTATATATATATATATATATATATATATATATATATATATATATATATATATATATATATATTATATATATATATATATTATATATATATATATATTATATATATAGATATATATTATATATATATATATATATATATATATATATATATATATATATATATATATATATATATATATATATATATATCGCACAGCGCAGATGTATACGCTTCCGCGCGCATGTTCACTATTTGACTCCTTGCAGAAAAGGGATTGCAATATATTAATCCTCAATTATTCTGATATTGATGGAAGATGCTTCACGCCAAAGAAAAGCAAATGTGATAGCAATGTATATAGATATTTTTCTAGTTAGGGATACTGAAACGTGTCAAGGAAGCTAATGTGACACAATGTTGGCACGTTCTCCGATGAACCCAGCATTGAACTGTCTCGCTGTTTGCATAATCCGTCTGCAACGAACCTTACTACATTATTTTCTAACTTTAATTCGTGCCATACTTAAATATCATTTTTGTGGTTCTATTCCATTTCTTCCCCGTTTCTCCTGCTCGCAAAACCTCTCAAACTTTCCCAAAGACCCGAAGGTCACAAAGTAAAATATCTTGGGCCACGTGATCAAATGTTTGGAAAATGTCCTGTCAAGAGTTTCTTTCTCCGTTCGCCTTATGCACAACTTAACCAAATACTTTATTTACATTCAAATAACGAAAATAAAGGGGGTAGACAGACTAGGCAGGTACGGATATAATCAATCACGGGGTCCATCGCTTTATCAGTCTGCATTAAGCAAATAATCCCGTTCATTTGCAGCCAATTATGATCAAGTGAAAATCCATAAAGCAGAATTAGAGAAGAATTTCTGATAAAGGTCAAGATAACGATAAACAAAACAAAAACGTTCAATAAGATAACGGTAAACAAAATACCAAAAATAGGACTGTAAAGAACACTAATAATAAGTAAACAAAACAACCAAAAGATGACAGAAAACAGAATCAATAAAACACTCAAACAATGGAAAATAACAGTAAACGAAACAACAATAAAGCGAAAGTGAACAGCGCAACCAACCCCATCCCGAAATCCTAAATGACATTGCACTAATCCCTCACGAGGCTCCCAGTCCTGCTTGTCCTAAACGCCCCTCTGCCCCCGGGTCCTGCCGTCCTTTATAATCACCCGCGCGCCGACTGCGAGGTGTCCTAAGTAGTCCGGCGTCTACCTAGGGACACCTTAGAGTACCCAGGCCGTCCTATCCTCACGTCCAGAAGAGAGGGGCGAAGGAGGAGCGAACTCGGCGTGGAGAGCCTCCTTAAAGCAGTCTGGAGAGAATAGACCCGCGCCTCTTTGAGCTCTTCGCCAAAAAATACCATCTGCTGCTGGGCTCGTGTGTGAACTTGCGTCTGTGTTTTCGGATCTTCCGCTCAACTTTTTCTCTCACATGGCTTTCTCTCTCTCTCTCTCTCTCTCTCTCTCTCTCTCTCTCTCTCTCTCTCTCTCTCTCTCTCTCTCTCTCTCTCTCTCTCTCTCTCTCTGATTGTTCCTAATGCACCAACGCTTCATCACAACTCGCGTTATGCAGTCTGCTAACCACAAACCAATGTATACAACGTTAAGGGAAAGAAACAAAACCTCAAAACATACCAAGAAAAAGACCATCCCCTCAATCAGTCTGAATGTCTTTCATTGTTTCTGTTCCAGTAGTTGTGCTTTTTCAGTACCATTTTTTACCCCCCCCCTCCCCTCCTCCGAAATGTGTTTGTAAGGTACCGCGTCCTATATGGACCTATCCACCTTAACTCGCCCTCGCAGTACAGGAATAACTACCGACTACGCACGCACTTTCCCAAATAACATGATATTCCGCGAGAACTTTGAACCTCAAGAAAGACTGACTGGGCTTTCATGTCTACTTCAACGCTGCTGACAATACTTCGGCTCTTTTCTTGAGTTTTAAAAGTTTGAAGAACTAAGTATAAGAATAACAAGAACGGGGCCGAAGCTTAACGGGTATTTTTTTTCATGCGTTGGGGTTTATTTAATTCATTGATTCCCTTGGATAAGAACGCATTCAAATGGTGGGTCGTTCGAAGAGTTTAAAAAGTATAGAATAACAGATCTTCTCCCACTCTATCCCCATCCTTTCCTCTTACCACCAGTGACCCCTTCCCACACCCAATCCCACAGCTCCCCCACTCCCCTCCTTCCCCACCTACAACCCTCTCCCTCGCCCACCCAACCCCACGCCAGCCTCCTCCTTTTCGGGCGACAGCGCAGGCACGCGTCGTCGAACCCCATGATAACCCACATCCGGGTACCGCGCCCTCGCCCTCTAATTCCAGGGGGATAAAAACGTTGACATCTCCTCCCTTCCTCTATCGCCAGATCTCAGATATCCCGGCGATCCTATGCAGCTGACAAATGCTGAGACTTGGGATGTCTGCCGTTTTTTCCCTCCCTCTCTCCCTTTTCTCTCTCTCTCTCCCTCTCCCTCTCCCTCTCTCTCTCTCTCTCTCTCTCTCTCTCTCTCTCTCTCTCTCTCTCTCTCTCTCCCTCTCTCTCTCTCTCTCTCTCTCTCTCTCTCTCTCTCTCTCGTTTTATTCTCTACACGTAAAAAATTGTTTTATATGTACGAGGAGAATCTACTATCAGCTTTTATACGTCTGTTAAACGAACCTCGTTTATTCCTCTTTCTTTGCTCTCATGCTCTATATCTATTAATTAATAGACTCCAATTATAAGAAAAGTAAAATTAATCTTAATAGCCATTTTTAGAACTGTCCGAATACCTGTCAAAAAGAAGTATATAAAATATCTATTTTTCTATACATAAACACGACACATGGCAGTTATTGGCAAAAGATACAGGTATTGCTTTGAAGTTAATAAATATCTTTTAGCGGTTTCGCACGTACCAATTAAGTTCCTTTCCTAAGGCGACAGCGTGGAGAGAGAGGAATGTATATTTCGTTTCTTGTGGAGTAATAATTCATTTCAAAGTTAATATTATTGTGTTTTCTTTCTGTCTTTTAATTAACCGATCTTCTCTCCCTTTTCTCAGGACCTGCGTTCTGTGGGGCATGGAGCTGAAATTTCTGTGACAGGTAAGGCTTTTGAGGTCTCTTTTGCACCACTGGATATCTAGTTTCTGTTTCCTTTTTCGATATAGGATCGAAAAAGTTCTGGAGGGATGAACTACATATTTTGAAAAGCCAATGTATGTTTAAATGTCGATTACTTTGTGCAGTGATTGAGATATGCACTCGACACACTTTTTTCCTCGAATATTCCCTCAGTACATGAAGAAAATCTAAGGAAAAAGGCAGTAAAATTTTGTGTGTGTGTGTGTGTGTGTGTGTGTGTGTGTGTGTGTGTGTGTGTGTGTGTGTGTGTGTGTGTGTGTGTGTGTGTGTGTGTGTGTGTGCGCGCGCGCGCGCGCTATATACATGATACATACCAAGTATCATATATATATATATATATATATATATATATATATATATATATATATATATATATATATATATATTTCCAAAACAGAGGCACAGTAATGATTCGGTATCCAATCGCCTGTAATAATGTTATCTCTCCCGCTGGACTGGAAGGCAACAGGCCCGGAAAATGAAAATAATCCCAGAGTTGTAGCCCCGAAGAAAAACACGCGGAATGAAAACTGTAACGAGAAATACGACGTGGGAAGGGAAGGCGCGCGAAGGAAGAGGCGGACGTGCGGAGGCGGCATCGAGGGAGGGTGTCGAGGGAGGGTGTCGAGGGAGGCTGACAGGGGGAGGGGGGATTAGGGGGGATTGGGTGGGGGGTGGGTGGGGATTAGAGGTCAGGGTGGGCAGTGGGGGCGTAGTGGAGGTGGAGGAGGAGGGAAGAGGGAAGGTAAGATAAAAAAAAAGGAGGAAGAGACGACGCAAACAGGAAATGGCTCGAGTTGAGTACAAAACAAACTCTGACCGAAGAAGGACTTCCAGAGACACGCTAGAGGAAATATCTGAAGGACCCGAAGAGGCGGGGAGGCGGATATGAATCATATCGTTAAACATAAGCAAAGAAAAGGGAGGTAACAAACAGAAAAGAAAGAAAACGAAATAAAAACTAACACCATTAAAAAATAAACATTATAACCTCAACAAAACATGAGTAACAAAATCAAATAAACAATATAAAAAAAAGTTACACACACAAAAAAAAGTGTGAAATACACAATGCATTATTGTCATGGTATGGACTTGGCATGTAAGATGAGTCTTATGGAGAGTAATGGCATATCAAAGGCAGGTAATCATGTAAATTGTGGGAACTGCATCGCATTGTCAAGAACCGCAATTTAGGAGGATCTCGCCAGAACCATCGGCCGGTTCTATACTTCCTCTTTCCTTGTTTTGTTTTTTTCATTCTGTTTCGGAACCTTCTTTGTCTGGCCGTCGGCGAATGCTTTCTCGTTTGTCCCTTATTCAAAGTTTTTTTATGTGTTTTTTTTTATTCTGTTGTTTTACTAATTTATATTTTCGCTTCTTGTCGATGTCTTTCTTCCTTACGTAATTTAGTTCTTCACCCTCCTTCAATTCCCACGGCGATGCGTTGCCTTACATTGTCATATCCTTCTTCTTCTCCCTCATTTTTCCTTGTTTTTTCTCCTTTCATTCCTTTCTCCTTTTTCGTCTCCTTATCTCGTCTCCCTCTTATTTTTCTGTCTCCTTCGTTTCCTCTCCGGAAGGACCATTTAACAAGCCACGATCCCTTCCATCTCCGGCCAAGTAACAAAGGCTATTTCAATATTCATGAAGTTGCAATGATAATTGTATTTCTTTAAATTTTCCAGTACAGCAGCGTTTCTATTATCTTTTTGACTACTCTTCTTTCCTCCTCCGTTTTCCTATTTCGTTCGAGATTCTTGCGAGGAGGCGACAAAGCTACGAGCATTAAACGAATTTTTAACGATTTTTACAATAATTATTAACATATTTCAACGCTCAGGACTTGGCAAATTGGTTTCCTTTTACGATAACGTTTGCAACGCTGTTTTAATTAGATGGTTTATACTGGAATGATATAAACAAATATTGTCGTCCGTTGATGCATTTTTTTTTCTGCCATGTTGGAATGTGGGTTTTGCATAAAATAGAGAAAACGAAAAAAATGATGATTCAACTGCACGAAGTTAAATTAAAGAAAAAAAGTGTTGTGGACTCCCGGCAAAAAAGGGGGCAATAAATGCTTTAGAAATAATGTGTAACTTAATTAACATTTCTTTCAGTCCTTCTCTCGGACACAAAAGCAAGACACCGGACGCCTTACATTTCCTCGTCATATAACCGAGTCATTTCCCCCCCTTTCTCACTGCCAAATGGGAATGTTTATCATATTTCACATGATCTAAATCTCAGCCAGTTATTTTCTCCACTTCTCCCGACAACATCCGTCGCCAACAACGAGCGACAACACAACCCAAGATAAACAAGACAAAGACGAGGAACGAGGAAATATCTCGCGCTCGCTCTTCCCATAACTCTTACTCAACTACTCGAAGAAGTGAACTGATCCGAGCTAGGCCTCCCATAAGGCTTCCATAGGGCTACCTTCCTTCCGGCTACCAGGGATCCGGTGTAGAGGCTCGGACATCGATCTAGTTTGCCGGAAATGGTTCCTGGAATGACCGCAGGTGTTCTCCGTCCGGACGAGGCGGCGATCGCGGAGACGACGTTCCGGGGGCGGCTTGAAGGCGGAGGCCACACGAGCGCGCTCTACGATGGTGTTTTATTTAGTGATCTATTTCCTGATATTTTTATTATTATTATTATTTTCTTGTATATACTGGATCGATTTCAGGTAGTCTGAGGACTGACAGTACGCGTTCGCTCTGTCATCATGGAGTGCGATGCAATTTCAAGCTGCAGCTTACTAAACCTAAAAGCAAATTGAATAAATATTCCCATTATTACACATTAATACTCTATTACGAAACGGTAATCACATTTCAGATGAGTAATACTCTTCCTTTTACAAGCGCACGGGAAGAGAGAATCCAATTGCTATTACACTCCGCATTCTATTCTTAAACAATAAAAATACCCACAGCGTAAAAATATCCGTGCTTAAAATATAGTTGTGCCGCGGCCCTTTCCTTCTCCTTATAAAGGTCAGAAGGTCAACTAAGTATATGTGACCCCCTACCTGCTCAAGATGACCCCCCCCCCCCCCTATGCTGGAGCCCCGAACAGAACCACGCAACCTTATAGCGGAGAGAAAATAAATGTGTTGCTTTTGTAGGTATGGTGATGATCCACCTCGTTAACTTCCTTCATTAAAATCTACATATTCAGCAATGTGCACTCCCTTTCTCTTTATTTGTCCTCTCTCAAATACATCCCTCCCTCTTCTATTTTTTTTTTCTCTCAGACACTCTCTGCTTTTATATTTTTTTCTCTTTCATTCTCCATTCTGTTTCTCATACGCGCACGTTCTCTGTCTCATTCTCTCTCTCTCTCTCTCTTATCCTATCTTCCTTGCTCAATCTATTTCTCCTTTCCTCCTCCCTTCCACAATATCGTTCTCCCTATCCTCTTTCCCTCCCTTCCAGGTAACCCATTAGGCTCACAGATTCACCCCAAACGATCCATTCAACGGAACCCCAAGGCAAGGCAAGCACGGTACCTTCCCCAGCCCAGAACCGCACCGCCAGAACCGCACCGCCAGAACCGCACCGTCAGAACCGCACCCCGCCGTGACGCGCCTCACCCATTAAGTCTCTCCTACCGTTACTCTGCCCTCGGCCGAAAACGTTACGCGGACTGCTATACCACGCCCCGTCGTCGTATCCGAAACGTTTGCTGGTTATTCAGTTTGATATTCCCCAAAACGTTTGTTGTTCGGACGTGTGGTGAGATTTGATTTGGAGGAGGCGGGAGGTGGTAGGGTCTTTGTTTTAAAAATATTTATGTCGACATTATAAGTACGCTATAAAAAAAGACAAAAGAAACGTGTTACAAGAGGCACGAGACATAATTTTCGACTTTCTGATATATGTGAATATATCAGAAAGTCGAAAATTATGTATTTTTTTGACGCATCAATCTTTCTTTAATGTTCTAGAAAATTATCATATCCACCACCATTCTCCTCTTCTCATTATATCATTCTCGTCAGCTACTAGATAAAAAAAAGATTGTGCGAATATACCACCAACCCGTTAAGTGTTATATCGCCAATAATATTTGATTTATCTCGACTAAAGACAAATATATCATTCGAGTAGCAAAAAAGCTTTCCGTGTAGCACTGACCATAAATCAGACACAAAAAAATGCTTAACAAGTTCCATGGAAAATAATTCCAACCGTCATATTTCTTTCCTTTTGATATATTTTAATGCATTTCTCACGACATTTTAAATCAAAGTCGGAGCTGAATCCCAGAATGAAATTTTGGGGATAGACTAATCTTTGACGGAAAACGATTTTGCGCCGAAAAGCGAAAAATGACTGTGCTCGGAAATAACGCTGTGTCTAAAGTGAAAAGGGAAATCGAATTTTTGAATGCAAAACTTTAATTTTAGGAGGAAAAAAACATTAAGTTAATTAAGGGCAAAGTTAACGTCGCTTCCACCACTCACGCACGCACACACAAACACACACTCATATTCAACGCCACAGCTTGTGTTGATTCGCCGCCCTTGCACACCGCACGTATTTATGGGAACGTATATTTAGAACTTTATTTTCTACCGCTTCCCCACTCCCCCACCTCCTCCCAGCCTTCTTTCCTCTTTTCTTTTCTCCTAATCCATCTAAATCCACCCCAGCCATTTAGTCCCCAACACCCCACTCCCCTCCCCTGCCACCCCCTCCTCCCTACGCCTAGGCTGTATGTCCGCACGGCTCATTGCCTCTGTACGGTGGACACTTCGAGGCCGGCGCTCGTGTGACAGACGGGACCGCTTCCAAAGGGGCTTGAGACTCGGCGGCTGCAATTGTGTATTTTGGTCGGTGTTATAGTGCGGTGTGTCTCGGGCGCGGCGAGGTAGGGCTAATGAGAGTCGGAATTCGGATGGGTGTACAGCGAACTATAATCAAGACGTGTTTATATCTATTCACATT